GTGGTGTTTGGAAGAGAGCATATTGTGGTGGAGAGAAATAAAGATTTGTTGACTAGAAACTGTCCTGAGTGTGTGGGGTCTTGGCAGTGCGCTGTGGGCCTGATGTTTGCAGGCAGCCTCCCAGGCACCCTATTGTAGGGGGTGGGAGAGGAAGTGGTCCACGAGCACCTCGCAGGCACAGTGCCCTGTCTGCTACTGCCGGGGAGGGAAAATAGAGTGCGTCCATGGCACGCTCGCCATCGGCTCCCAGAAAAACATCCCCCCTGCCAAGCTGAACCTGTCTCCCTGGATCTGCTTAATCCTAGAAGGAGCAAATCTGCCCCCAACAGGGTGCACATTTAGACGCCTTCCCAGGGCTGGCTTTCTACTACACAGTAAATTACCGTACAGTAAATCTAAATAGCATTAATTACATGTGTAGCTGCACCCACACACACAAGTTATGCTTCCCCTACACAGAACGGAAATCCTGCTATTTAGATTATTTCCTGTAGCTAAAGATAGATCTTCAGTTACCATAATTTGAGTTAAGAACATCAAGAAGATGCATCTTCATTGCTTTTTTGGAAGGCCGAACAAGTCAGAAAATGAGCTAGATCACAGGCAGTATTTAAAAACTTACTCACACTTAACAGGACAATGATAAACATGGGGAAAAAAATATATACTTTCTTTGCCCATCCCCCCAAAAATACGTTCTCCAAACAAGTGTGCAAGTAAAAAGTAGAATTGTGCTAAACTGCTTTACATTTCAGATAATTTCATTCCCTGTATTGTTACCTGGCACTCACTGTTTAAGTACTTCTTTTTGTAGAAGTATACTTTCTATTTTTCATTTAGGTACACTGCAGCCCTATTGTTCCAGTTCTCCGCTTTCAAATAATTTTTATGTAGATTATTTGAATACTGTTGATCATCGGATTATTAACGAATCTTTATTCACCTTCCTGACCCTATTTTGCACATTGTACTTTCTTTTCAAGTTGTGTAAGATATTTTAATAGCTTTTGTTTTATTACACTATAATCATATTTTCATATTTGTTTGCAGCTCCACACTCTGTAACCTTTCTCTAAGCCCTGTTCCTTTCCTAGTGCCTTATCTAAAAACACTTTATCTATACTTACCTGGAAATGCACAGCTACAGTGAATCAGTTAGTGGACCATCTTGTACAGTGCCCTGTCTCTGATTCTGTTCTATACCAAATGCTCAAAAGAAAGTTGCAAAAAACACTGCAGTAGCAATTTATGAAATAACAAATTTGCAAGACCAGTTTCTCCCTATCTCCTATTAGGTGAGATTGCTTCAAGCCCCTAAGCACAAGGGTTCTTAAACTCATTTTTGTTCACTGTTTTTTTAATTTGAAATCAGACCTGAACCTCCCTTGTAAGAGCTAGATATATGCTAAAAATGTTATCCTAGCTAAGCATAATAAATTGTATTTACTCAAATCCAAGATGAGGGTTTTTTCCTTATTTAACATGGAAGGAGCCTTGGATCTGACTGTGGGGCAGCAGGGCAGGGAGCAGTGGCAGGAATAAGTCAACCCTCCAATAATTAGATTCTACCCATGAAAGATTATACCAAATTTATAAATTTTCCATGTATAGAATCTAAATATTGGAGGATCACCTTCAATTTAGAGTCATCTTAGATTTTGGTAAATACTACAGTTAAAACATTAGTCACCACCACTACCACCTGCACATACAGTAAAAGCAATATACTGATATCAACCTGATAACACATAATTTCTGTTCAGGAAGCAAAATGAGCTATGCTGGCATAACCCTCAATGGGTTCGGAAAGTGCTAACCCACGTTGGCAAATAAACTACTGCAGTTACACAAAATTACAACTACACTTTGTGCTGCCTTCGGGGTACAGGAAAGCAGTCCTGGGATGTCCCAACTCTGCAAGAGAGAAGGAAGCAGAATTCCCATAGCAATCAAGAGGGTTATGCAGACATTGCAGAGGAGATGTGGAAACTGGTGTACAACAGTAGCAAATCCTTATTCTAGGCAACTGCAAAGGAGCTGCAACATCCTTACTAAAAGGCATAAAAGAAAAAAAAACTAAAACTGAAGCTGCTCTTCTTGTGTCATATTGAATAGGGGGATCTTGAAACCAACCTGCGATTGACAATGAAATCTTCCTCACGTTTCGAGGAAGGCAGCCCTAAGTAGCACACCAACCATGGAGAAAGGGAAGTGAAAAACGTAGGCTGGGGTGGGCAATTATTTCAGCTAGAGGGCTACTTAACGCGTTTTGGTGAGCTGTCAAAGGCCACACACACAAAATCTTTTAGAAGATATCATTTTAACAACTTATAGATACAAAAAAATCATATAATAAAAATCAAACATCTACTATAACATATTTTAATTTTATTTCAAAAAATATTTTTTGTCCCGACTTGCGTATTTTTGAGTAGTGAATATAGAGATGATTGCGTAAAAGTTCAAAATAAAAAAAGTCTTACTCTTGTATATTGTGGGGTGGGACAGTATGAGGAGTGGGGGGGGTAGGGGTGTGCCTGGGGTTGCTGCTTGTGTGCTAGGTCCCAGGAGTCAGCTGGGGGCAGGGGGCACGTACAGCAGAGCTCACCTGGGTGGTGCGGGTGCAGCCCACACCCCCCTCTCCCAACCCACGGCTGCCCCAGTGCCGCTCCGCAAGGGGCTAAGCCCCATATGCTCCTACCTGGGGCTGCCCGCACCATGCTCCTGCCAGCCCAGCCCCAGCCAGCACACCTAGCTTCCTGGTGGGGCTGTTCCCAGTGCAGTTGCAGCCACCCAGGTACTACTCAGCTCCCCCTGCCTCTAGCAACCCCTCCTCCTCCTGCCCCTACTGCACCACTCCAGGAAGGAGGAAGGAGCCACAGCCAAGGCAGCTCCTGCTCCAGCATGCACGTGGGCACCTGCAGGCCGGTTCCAATTAATTGGCAAGTGCCACCCACCCTGGACATACTTGAACCCAACCCAAACTACCCAGAGACAAAACCTGCTGCAAAAGTAATGGGACTCCAGTAGACACAACTTATAGCCCATGAATGTATTCCTTTCCCCTTTACCCCCTCAAATTCTCACAACCTTTTCCTCCTACCTTTTCTCAAAATGGCAACCAGCTGCAGAGAAAAAGGGGAAAAACCAAATTCTGTTTTAAAGTCATCAGTTTATTTTAAGAACATTACAATATAAAAAAAAAAAAAGAAAGAAAAAACTGGAAGCAATCAAAAAGTATTCCTACATACACATTTACTAAAACTCTTTACTTTGAATAAATTAAAAATTTTGGCTCATGGGGAAGTCCAATAATTTTTTTAAAAATGCAAATATAATTAAATGATTTAAAACCCAAGAAAGAAATGCACGCAACAAATACACAAGCACTCAAATTAAATACATCAACACCACAAAAGAATGCTAAAGAAAATCCATTGACAGGGCACTCAGAGGCCACGGATTTTCAGAAATAGCATTGTCAGTTTATTTGATGTAGGGTTTTAATGCAGAACACAGTACTTTTAGTTTAAGGTCCAAAACAAATTACTTAAATGCTCTACTTAGATCCAGAAAAGAAGTAGAAGTGGCATGTTGCTGGCTCAGGGGCTCAGGCTGATAGGCTCACAAATCTAGCCAGCAACCACAACTCTTCTCCGCTTGCAGAGCTTCTGGTTTATCTTGGCCTAGGCAGCATTTTTGCCCTCTGGGACAATCTCACTGAAATTTTCAAAGAAGCAATGATCCTTGCCTGCACTTTTCTAGCAACAGTAGCTTTGTTTCTTCCACCATAGCATGACATTCATCTTCTCTTACCAGCCTACAGCTAATTCAAGGGTATCATCTATGGAGAGGCCAGCAGCATAGGGCCCCAGAAGACTCAAAACTATCTCTAGCAGCTGCTTTAAATCTTTGATACCTTCATGAGCTGTATATCTGGTAGGATCGCCAACTGCCTGCAATAAGTGTTCAACAATATTTATACTGACACCACTCCATTACCTAAGACCCATACCTCAAACTCTATTTCTCCTACCTACTTGCCACACTCCAATCGCTAAACAACCTTGAAATAAGTAGCGGTAAATCAGACTATATTTATATACCTCTGCATGGGGAAAGTATGGGAGAGTTGTGGCACATATCTCGATGCCAACTAAGCCCTTAAATTTACAATGCCCATCTGCCTAGTAGTTTATCAGTGACCTTGGCCAAGGTATTCTGAAGGGCTGTCCTTTCCTTACCTGCAGAAAAGCTTACCATAATAAGGTAGAGAGAGCGAGAGACAGAGAGACAACATGCTCTCAGCACTACCTCTAGCTCTCTGATTCTTAATCCCACAAGACCAGAAAATGGAGGGAGCTCTTGTCGGAAGAAAAGCAGAAGGCCACAAAAGGTCCACCAACAAATTCACCAAGACATATATGTCCACAGATTTAAAAAAAAAAAAAATGGTTTTCAAAGCATTACAATACAAGATTCCCACACAGACATTGTATGGAGTGGATAAATCCTCTTGCCCAAAACTAGGACTATATAATCCCACCCCACTCAGGTTCCAGAAATAAGAAGCCTTTAACTTAACCCAGTGAACAATAAGAAAAAATGCCAAGTGCACATACTGTGCCCAAAGCAGCAGCGCCTTTCACTTTCCTTTTAGTGGTTAGTTGCTTGTTACTGAATAACAAAAGCTGTTTTTGTAGGAAAACCTTGGTTTTCACAATATAGATTTAAAGCCCCAAAGAATCACTTCTTGATGTCAAAAGTTCATAACCTAAGCAATCACTGTGTAGTCACAAAAAAACCCAAGAAGTATAAAGCAGAACACTGCCTAGTCATAGCAAGCCAGACTGCTCTCAATCTGTCCCCCAGCCACCTAGTAGGTTGCTAGGCTCCAGCTCCTTGTTTCAGGCTGCTCAAAATCAGATAACATTTCCACCTTAACTTCATAAGACTTCCCTTTTCACCTGCTAATTGTACAATATACAGTTATCCTGTACCTGCCCACACAATAATTAAACCTTGCCTTGCTGTTCTCCAAGTGCTCAGTATATGCATCCAAGAGCTGTGCAAGAAAAGAATAGTTTACGTATTTGAGAGCCACAACCGGCACTCCAACCTGGCCTGTGAGTCCACCTGCCCAGGGTAACAGGACAGGTGTCCCTCCTTGAAGCTTTTCAAACAGTTCTGTCTTCCTAGGATGTGAGCATCATGTAATGGGAAACATCCAATGCTTGCAAAACTGTGGGAAAGCACCTCTTTCTGTTCATTTGTTCACAGACAAGGGGAAAGGAATCCCATCTACTACACTTCCACCATTAGGGAAATTCACTTATTATTTCCTAGATACCACTCAGAATTACAAACCTGTATAGCGGGACAAGCTTAAAGCCCTCATACCCCCACTGTAAGTTTTCCAGTACCAAGCCTATTGCTACTAATCAATAGCCAACTGGAATAGCAAATTTACAGAGCATAATTGCCACCTATTTTTTCATGATCAGGACAGCTTACACTTTGGTTTCTTTACACTGTAAGACTGGGGCAAGCTTGGCACATAACTCCAGGCATATGGTTTTCCACATCCTAACCACTGACAGTATCCCAGGTGTGCATCATGCTCTAATGCCACCCATTTGTGCTCGTTCCATGGGTCAAGAACTGCTTCTCCACTGTGGGCAGCTGATTAGTGAATGCCTGCAATGCCTGGCAATTTTCACCCACTCTCGGTATCATCCACTGCTCTTCAATGTTCTCATTTTCACAGCTGCATGATCAGTTTGTGTCAGTTGATGTGATAGCACAAGTGAAAGAGCCATGCATTTAAAACAAAAGGAAGCTCCTGTAATCTGGTCAGCATCTACTCTTGAGGACAAGATGTCACAGATTGAAAAACTAACACAAAGAGGAGTAAACTGTAGGCTCAAAGAGAGGAAGACTGAATTATTTATAAGCAGCACAAAAAGAGAAGATTATGGGATGGAACAGATACAGTAATGGGCATTTAATCCAAAACTTTCATTATTCTCAGAGAAGAGCGATGGGATCCCACATGTGCTTCCTACACGGTTAGTGTACCAAACACTGGCATGGAAGACTGCGAGATGCCTACTTGTATCACACCTATTACCTACACAACCCAGAGGTGTGAGGTTATAAAATACCAGCCAACTGTCAATGCAGTCCACTAAAATAGCTCCATCAGCCACTGTCTGACGGCTGAACTTTTAATAATAAAAGTTTTTAGTATAGATACAACCTGTTTTACTCATCCAGAAGTAAAGGAGTAATGGATAATCTGACCCAGGACACAAATGAACTGCCCACCCTAATGCATACATATGGAGCCCAACACCTAGCACCTATTTGGTATTCCATTTACAACACACTGAAAGATAATCACTGAGAAATCATCTCTTTTATTTTTTTTTTTTGCTAAAATTAGATTTCTTCTAGTTTCTTCAGGAGATTTAATAATATTTTTATAATCCATATAATAAAATCAGACCAAAGGTACAGACTACTCGTATGACTGGACGTATACCTCCCCCACCAAAACCACAGTTTAAAAATAAAACCTTAAAGCCGATCCCTACTTCCGTGGAAATAATGTTTAGATAGTCTTTAGGGAGAAAAGCTGAAGTTATTAAATGCTCTATTAGCCTTTATCCAACCCCATTAAAGTAGATGGCAAGATTACCATTGACTTACAGCAGAATCTAGCTCCTCCTATTGAAGAATCATGAGTTAAAATAATAAATATTAACTAATGGAAAGTTTACTTGATCAACTGCACAGATTATCCATCCCATAATCTGTGATAGCACTGGAGTGATGTTGCAGCCACAGCAGTCCAGCAAACATGTGAGAGGCAAGGCTTTTTTTGCACGGTATCTTTTATTGGACACTTTGCATACCAGGAGAGATCTTACACAAGCTTTCAGGCACAAGACATTCTTTCTCGGGTCTAAAGCACCATGCCAAGGAAAGGAACCTTGTCCTCAAAAGCTTGTCTAAGATCCTTCCCAACTCTTTGGTTGGTCCAATAAGAGACAGCACCTAAAATAATCCTTGCCTCTTGCATTCCTCCAATTTCACATTTTAAAAACATTTCCGTAACACTTCATAACTGAGGATCTGATCCTGTAGTCTCATGCACATATCTTGTACACACACCCTTTATCAATCCCAAGAAAAGAGCGCCCGTTATGTTTTTACCACTATTACATTATTACATAGCATAAAACACCATCGTTTAGGAGTGCATCCAAGGGGAAAATATTGTCTCAATAATCTATATTGGAGTCCAAAATGTTGTACCAAATATTCCTAGCCCTGTGGCAACTTGTTCATTTGGGGGGCTTTTGGGTAGTACTGTGATACAAGTAAAGCTAACCTACCTGTATATTAGAATGCCTCCCAGTAGTAATTAATAGCATACCTTGCATTTTTTTAAAGTAGACACACCTGAAAGCTCTTACATTTAAAAGTTGGGGTCCCATATCTAAGAAACACTGTAATTCATGATCATCGTAATAAATATTTTAGGGATACCTCTTTCACAAGCTGTGCTGCCTACAATGCATTTCAGTCTTTTCCAATGTTCAAAATTCCATTGCTTTTTTCACATTAACATTCAAACTTTTCAAAAGTTTTTTTTATTGCCGTAACGTTTTATTTGTGCCTCAGACACCTGTAAAAAGCACACAAGTCATATTTCTCAAAATGACCAAGTCCCTTCTCAAACAGGTTTACTGAAATCCGTTTTTATCAGACGCACTATCTGGTTCTCCCTGCCCGACTCCCCCATCGCCACTCTCACGTTCTTATGGATAAACGTTCACAGCTTTTCACAAACTTTAAAAACAATCTGTTGCAGGAGTATATAATTTAAAAACAAAACTCAAATTCTACTTAATAAAAGCCTCTTATTAGATGATTTAGCCACTGCAAATACAATTATGTTAATGATGTATTTAAATTCCATTTAACAACTGGAGCCACGGAGCAACAAGTATTCTTTATGGGCTCATTTATCCTTTTAAAATACCCTCTAGAAGTGGTTAGATCACTACACAGGGAGGAGAAAGAAAGCTACGGTAATCGTTACAGAGAGACTGCTTATTCTCTCTCTCCAACAGAGGTAAAGAACAAAATTCTGTGCGACTTGAATCTGACTAAGTAGTAAGACAGGGTAAATTTGAATACAAAAGTCAAAACCAAAGAGTCGCTGTTTTTCCAAGAGTTTGAGTAAGCCATGGTTAAGGAAGTCAGCAGCACGCTGCAGTCTATTATTTCAAATCACTAATTGAAGAATGAATGGACAAAAGAGGCAGCTCAGCTGTGCTGCCTGATCACGATTCAGACTACAACTTTTAAGTGCGTTTCACATGCCGCCGAGTACTACGCATAGGAGATGAAGAGCATGGAAACCAGAAATGACAGCTCTACGAGGACAAGCTGTGCTACTTTTAAAGCCTTTAAACAGATGCGGAGTTTGCCGCGGTTCTCTCTCTCCACCCAGCTCCCCTCCTTCACTTAATTCTGTTTTTCCCTGATTAATCTAACACTTCATAAATTAATAAATAAATAAAAACGATCATTTTAAAGGGGCTGGCGGGGCTCTTGACCAGACAAGTTGAAAACAGCATGAGAGCCACACAGCGCAGAACAGGACGGTGTATGCTGGAAGATTAGCTGCCTTCTAGTTACCCAACAAACCTGTGCCACGCTTGACACTAAGCCCGCGAGAGAAATTTATCATTTTGACATTCAGCGGCTGCCCGGCCACACGCGCACGCACACACACGCGCACACACACACACATTGGGCAAAGGTGTCCCCACCCGCCGTGCAGCGCAGGGGCCGGGGCTGCGGACACCCTACCTGTATCATTCTGATAACACCACTACGGGG